TTTGACAACCACCCACATGTTTTTTGGTGGTTTCTCACTTTTCAGGGCATTTCTTCAAGAGTTTCCAAGAAAGGGGGTTACCAAGAATTCATGGAAGCTTTCGCAGGGGCCTTATATGGTTTGGACTCTCACCACATAAGCCCTTCAGTATGCCTTCTGTATACTACGGCGGGCAGTTTCTTCGGTGGGTAGTTTCCCATAGGCCTTACATACCACTCCTTAAAGCTAATTATGGGGATCATATGAGCCACAGTCTAAACTCCTTAAAGGGGGATATATAGGGGAGCATTATAAGGGCTATTAAGAGGGATACCATGAAATTACTCCCCTGGAGTGCGCCTTCATGTGCCTGGTGACTTGCTCTTGGAAATCTCCCTAGCGAAGTACATCCAACTGACTGACGTCATATCATCACGCTGGTCTATGTATACATTTTTTTCGTTTAAAGCAGCCCTAAACCCTACGTACACCCTAAACCCTGAACCTCAAGCCCTGCATAAACACATCTCTTAACTGGCCTTTGGCTAGCTAGAAATGAAGGAATGGATCCTTGTAGTAGTCCCTATATAACCCATTATGACATTTTCTTTTCCATTCCTTCTAAACCCTAAACCCTAAATAACTCATTATGATAGTTTCCGTTTTGTTTTCCATTCCTTCATTCCCAGCTAAACAGAGGCCAGTTAACCACCTCAGGCTCCTAAGAAGGACTATATAAGGGACAACCCTCAAACCCAAACCCCAAATAGTAGTTTCCATTGTCTTTTTCGTTATGCCTATATATAGGGTTTGGGGTTTAGGGTTTAGGGCTTAGGGTCTAAGAAGGACGGGAAAGCAGAGACTGCGGTGGAGCCGAGCACGGCTCCTCCGGCCACGTTGAAACCCGAAGGCGATGCCTCTGAAGGCAACGGAGTGAGTGCAGGGTTCAGAGTCTTGGAGTCTAGGGTTTAGGGATTCGAGTTTTGGAGTTTGGGTTTGTACGAGGTCTTCTGGGTGGTGCGTATGGGTTTTGAGGGTTAGGGTTGGGAGTTTGGGTGTTTCGATGTATGTAGGCGGTGTATATGGATCTTGGTCTTAAGGATTAGGATGTGGTGCTAGGGTTTTGAAGAGGTAGTCTATGTGGGTTCATCAAAAAGCTTGTCAAGATTTTGGATTTTGGGTGTAGTGGTTTGCTACATTTTCGTGTAGCATTACGAAGTTTGGGTTGGGGGATTATGGTTCAGTATTGGAGTAAGGCTTTTGAGAGATGAAGTTGAAACTAGCTAGTGATCTTTTCGGAGAGGTTTTGTACTTCTGTTCACGTGTTGAAGCTTTGTAACCCCATTTCACCACCAGAAAGATTCTTTGCTACAAATCTGGCAGCTCCTACCCCCCAGCTGGTCCCCGTACATCCGCTCTACATCCGCTCGAGGTAAGCCTTAAGGACTACAGTTGACCTTCTATACCTAAACTAAGACAAGTCCTGCACCCAATCCCTGAACCCAGACCTTCAGCTTTGAATCCTATGTCATTAGACCTCAGCACTGAGGCCTTCATTTGTAAGAGCTGAAACCAAGCATCAATCAGACCCCAAAACCTAAGCCTTCAAAACCCAAAGGCGCCAGGATGGGAAGTAAAGGACCCTTGACATAGGCTCCCTTAGCTTAGCCTGAGCCCTAGATCCGGCAAATACCTCATGAATCTCCAAACGGATTGAGATTGGGGCATTTTCCTCCCAACCTACTTGAAATTGATCGCTGCTGCATATTATAGGGGCGTATTTTTGCCCTGCCAAGCTCAATCTGAATTTTAAGAACACTTCATAATTGATCTGGATAGTGGGATGGCAGGAACATAGTCAGAATGTCATGGCTCAGGCTCGTATAGCAGCATGATCGCTTCGGAGTATGTCTTTTTGGCTAAGGCCTTGGATCCTGAACTGCACATCCGGGCTAAAGTCAGAAGTGCGGGTGACCGATTTGAGAAACTCTGCAAACTTGCAGGATCAAATGACCCTACATTCCATCAGCCTCCGAAATCTTCTTGATAAAGCCCTTGAGCCCGAAAATCCCTTACGGCTTTTTAGCCAAACGCGAAGCTCTATCATTTTTTGTAAAACATATTAAGCTTGATTTGGAATGAGCCAACGCCTTAGCAAAGCCTGCTGCCCAGCTCGGCTCACTGGAAGTGCCTCATTCAGGCGGGAATCTTCCCAAACATTGAGATCTTCGGGGTTTTAGGGTTGTATAAGTGTCGGTACGGATCAGGTTTTGGGGTTCAGGGTTCAGGATTTGGCGATGAGGACTTACCCTCCCTCACACCACCCAGACTTGAAGTCCTTTTTCAACACTTTAAAAGGACGGCAGTCTTCGTAAGGCCCCTGCTGGGCTTCCAGGTTAGTTTGGGGGACGGTAGGGATTCTTTTTGGGTGCCGCTTTAACAAGGAATCCCATGCATTGTGTAGGTTGGGGCTGTTGATTTTCGGAAAGCATCATTGAAGGTTGAAGGCTTGGGCTGAACCCCCAGAAACCTACTGTTCATAAAGGCCCAAATGTGCCCGGATGCCCAAAGGCCCGAAGGTCTGCGTTAGGACAAGACAAATAATCTTAGGCAGTTTCTTGGGCGACGGGAGAGGGAGGGTGTGCACGAGCGTAGCTCCACATGTAGCTCTTCTGCGCGAAGGGTCCGGGAATTGGAGTATTTATCTACCCTGAAGCAGAATCCAGGTCTAAGAAGAAAGCCCCGAAGCGCAACCGCAACCGCTGCAAGCTGTAAGCTTTGTCTCTGAGAATATTTGCTGCCCGGCATCTTTTTTTTTCAGAGTCTCCTTGTGTTACTGTGTGCAGGACCGAATGAAAGTCTTTCAAGGCTCTCATTATAGAATTTGAAGCAGTTTAAGTTCCATTTGGCCGTCACCCTGAACTCCAAATTTCCTGGGGCTGCTTTGCCCTGGAGCCCTCCATTGCAATTTGTTGCATTTCGCCGGATACATGCAAACGGAGCTCTGCGGCCGAAATGCTGAAAAATATAGTAGTTTCCATTTTCTTTTGCATTATCCCAATATCTCCCCAATATTACCCCTATATAAAATGGGATATTGGACTTTCTGGCATGGTCGCATTGGCATCAAGGACCTTGCACACTTTCCGCTGAACAGTAATCAGTAATTTGTGTTTCTTGGGATAGCTGGGGCCTGAGAAGAAGTCAGACTTGAAATGTTACTGTATCCTCGCCTGCCTAGTGAAACCTGGTCTAGCCTGGATTTCAACTTGCAGAAAGCTGTTTTCCTGAGAAGGCCTGAGTTCAATCTCTCCATCCCAATTTTTGCATGAAACTCTAGATCTCAAACCCGCAGGCATTGGACCATACGCATCAAACAATTCTGCCAGGCAGGAAAACTTAAACCCTGCTAGCCCTTAGCATCTCAAGCCAGGAGTTCTCCTACCTTGAACCCCTGAATCTCACGGTGGACCCTAGTCCAATGCGTGAAGCAAAGCTCTTTTTTTCCTCCCTCTAGCCCAAACCATGAATTTCAAGTCTTCAGGCCTGAGTGCGAGAACCCGTTATGCAAACCCTACATCGTCTCACGCCCAATATCCTGAACTTCGTCTGCAAAAGCTCGGCAACGCATCGCTGAAGCCCCGATCCTGAGGAGCCGCCTTTCCAGCTGGCTGCCCAAGAAGCAGACAGCCCCTCCTCATAAGACCACAAAGCTCCGCAGCCTGGTTCAGGTACCTTGGCACAGCCTGCTTCAGTAGGTGTCGGTTGAGGTGGGAGGAGTTGGAGTCGAAGAGTGGGAGAAGGAGTAGCAGTAGGAGGAAGAGAAGTCTTAGATGGTTTAAGGACAGGCAAGAATGGTAGTCCTCGCTTTCAAGCAGCAGCCACAGGACGAGACGTCGTTGAGGAAGAGGAGGAGGAATGAGCATGTACTCGCAAGTGCATTTTCATTTAAGGCAACAAAACAGAAGGAATCGCGACAGTCAGGAATTGAAGCAAGGGTTTAAGACCCAGGGCCCCGAAAGCGTTTTGGCGGTAATTTCAACTGTGCCACAGGATTCATACGCATTGCTGGACTGACTGTAGCAAGTGTTTCGTGCAGGCCTTTTGGAAACTTAACTGAACTTCGACTAGGCGGACAAGGGCTCAGGGGATGTATTCATGGCTCCGGTCAGTGTATATTGGGGTCTCTTCGGAAAATTGGCGCGTGTATTTATGTACTGGGTGTCCAGTTGGGGAGACAATAGTATCATGGGTCACATGGAACATAGCCGAGGTGGGTTGCATTTACGTTTTGCTTCTTTGCCGCTGGTAGCTGAAATCCAAAGACCCTCAGTTGGGGGCTTCTGAACTAGGGGGCCCTTTGGTAAGCCAGCACAGTGAGGATTACAATATTTTGGTGTGTGTAGCACAGATCCTCGTGTTTGGTAAGTCCCACTGAGGAAGAGTTGTCACCAACGGAGGAGCGCCCCCCGGCATCCTGGCCTTTCAAATTTAGTGAAGGGGTAGGGTAGGGCAAGGGCAGGGTAGGGGGTGGGTAGGGCAGCCGAGACTTTAGGCTTCAGCACTCAGAGGATGAAGTGCGAGGATTGAGATTCCCCACACAAGGTTTTGAAGGAGCTTCATTTGCGACGATTTCTGTTTGAGTCATGCATTGCCAGCGCGCCTGCACAGCAAGGGCGAGGTGAAGTCTAATTTCAGTCAGAAAGCATGTTTCCATTGATTTTGCTATGTAGACCGGCTAGCGCTGGCTCCCATCTCTCGAACACAACTTGGCAAAGGGTGTGTGGGTTTTGGGTGCTAGGTGTAAGGGTTTAGAGTTTAAGGTTTAGGGTTTTCTGATGAAGGGTGCGGAGTTTGTCGTCCTAGATGCAGAGCCTGGATTGGATAACTGCAATTATCACACTAAACGTGGAAATCGCAAACGGCGATGACAAACTGTATCAGTAATCGTAGTCGTTGCAATGTGTGAAGAATGACGCTTTATCGAGATGTTCGAAATCAGCATACCAAAAGAAGAGTGCAAGTTCTTGTGAACTGAACAGTGTCGCCCTGCCCTGCAGTAGGACCAGCGCAGATGGGGATGGAGTATTCGGAGAACAGAACTTCACACATCCTAAACACTTGCGCCCTCCAGCACTCAGAATCCTAAAGCCTTAAACCCTAAACCCAAAGCCCTAGAACCTCCATCCACCGTAGTACTTGTAAATCCTGAAAAGGCAGGTCCGAGCCAAAAAGCACGTGCCATTGTGGAATCCACTTGGTTCGAGTACTGTGCTGCCGGGCTGCAGTCGAGGTTTCACGGATTCTGAGGGGTGAGGGCAGGTTGCCAGCTACGGGCATTGAATGCCTTAGCATTTCTACCCCTCAGCACCCTCGCAAGCACTAAAACAGCAAGCCCAAACTCTGAGCCGACCAAGAGAGATACCATGCCATGCATCCTAAATAGTAGTTTCTATTTTTACTTTCCATTATCCTTATATGACTCCAAAATAACCCCAATATATACCCCATTATAGTATAGTAGTTTCCATAACATGCAGAGGCGCTCCTGTGTAGTGTGCAGCTTTTGGTCTTACATGGTAGTGAACGTGACAGCCGGGCTTAGCTCAGGTTTGGCGTGTATCAAATGGTAGTTCAAACAGGGGGAGTACACGGGAATTAATTTTTAGAAAGTGTAGGGTTACATTTCAAGGTGAGGAAACGACTCCTAAACGAGATTTTGACGTTTGCCCAAATGGCCTTGCCTTAGGTTGGCGCTGTCATCTTCGCCAACCTCATCACAATCGGTATTGAGGCCCGGTGGAGTTGTACCTAAACCAGGTCCTCGCGCATAACCGTGTTTTGCATCGTGTTAGTCTCTTGACTCTGGAGGTTGAAGCTGTACCACTACCAGTGTCATGTATTGCTCAAGGCTTCTGTTGGCATGATTTCCATGTCCATCCTTCTGATTCTTTCTACTACCGAGTGAGCAAAAGATTGTCGACTTGTTGGCCATTCCGATTTGGAGCTCAAATCCGTTTCTGGAATGGGCAGTCTGCTGCGTTTTTTTTTTGAGCGCGCTGTCGCAGCATATACATACTATAGGCAGACACACAAATATATGGACAGTGCAAAGTGATCTGTTGTAGCCCTTCCTTCCCAGCAGATTTGTCAAACGGCCAAGTGGAGAATGGATCGACTTCAGGCCCATGACCAGAACCAATTCCTTGACCCCGACCCTCGCTGCGACCAATTGAATCCTTGGTTGTTGAGGGTTTACGGTTTAAGGTTTAACGTTTAAGGTTTAGGGTTTGGAGTCATTCAGACCTCCACTATGGCTTCCTCTCAGGAGCGCATTGGGGTGTTGGGGTAACCAGCAGCTCCTTGGGAGCAGTCCTTGTAACGAAGCTACAACCTAAAAATCTGCTGGAAGGGGATTCATGATACCTTCGGCAGCCGCTTCAAACTTACTTGCGCTTGTTCTGAAAGCCCTAAACACTACGACCCAAACCCTTAACAAACCGTAAACCCTACACATCCTTGTGTAGCCTCCTGTAGCCCTACATAGCCCCGTCATAAGGATCCAGTAGGCTTACTATGCCGGTTGGAGATCCCAGCACACAGCTACCGTGCTATTGAAACTCAATATACAGTACCTTTCGTCCTTCTGGTTTGTAAGGAGATTACAAAAACCTAAAGCACTTGGCCAAATCTCACATTTCCCACCGTGCCTCTGCAACCTCCACAAGAACCCTATAACAAGCAAGTTAAGCCCTAAACTCAAAACCCTAAACCCTAAACCCTATATAACCCCGTTATAGTACTTTCCATTTCCCTTTCCATTATCCCTATATAACCCCAATATAACGCCTCAAACTCTTACAGCTTCCAAATCCCTCAATGTTTTGGAGAGGCTCAAAAACCCTAAACCCTAAGCCCTAAATCCCTAAACCCTACAACCCCGAGAGGCCCTAAACCCTAAACCCTAAACCTCTAACCCCTAAATCCCTAAATCCTAAACCCTAAACCCCTAAATCCGTAAATCCCTTAACACCAAAGCTGGCAATTTTTGGAGAGGCTCAAGTCTCCCTTGAGATGGGCCAGGAGTTCGAGGTAGGCTCCTGGGCCTGGATTGTGGAGCGAGCCTTGACCTTACAAGGGTTTTGGGGTTTTAGGGCTTTAAGGGTGTAAGGGTTTTAGGTTTAAGGGTGTGAGGGTTTTAGGGTTTAAGGGGTTTAAGGGCTTTAGGGGCTTTCAGGGTTTTAGGGGTTTAAGGGCTTTGGGGGTTTAAGGGTTTTAGGGGTTTAAGGGTTTTGAGGGTTTCTAGGGTTTTGGGGGTTTAAAGGTTTGAAGGTTTTAAGGGTTTGAAAGGGTTTTAAGGGTCTTAGGGGTTTTAAGGGGTCTAGGGGCTTTAGGGCTTTTAGGGTTTTCAGGGTTTGAGGGTTGTAGGGTTTTAGGGTTTGGGGTTGAGGATTTAAGGTACAAGAGGCCCTTCAAGGGTTGCAGGGGGGAACAGAAGGGGTGCACAGCGGTTTAGGGTTTTAGGCTTAGGGGCTTAGGGTTTGAGGTTTAGGTTTAGGGTTTAGGGGGTTCAGGCTTTCCCCTTGACAGAGTAAAGGGGTGATATGGTAGGTTATCAAAATTGTGGTCCTCATTTGGAAGCCCCCATATTAAGGACCGTATTATAGTGGGGACCCAAAAAAGAGTCGCGTCATAATTTTGACAAACCACCACCTAGGGGTAGATCAGGGGTGGGTCCCATGGGTTGGTTTAGGGGCCTGAATAATCACAAATAACTGGGTTGCTGTTAAGGAACTTAAATTCAGTTACTATATTGGGGAAACCCTAGTATTTACTGTATATACCCATTATGGTAACTTAATTTGAGTTCCTTAACAGCAACCCAGATAACGGAGAAGCAAATGGACAAGAGCATGGACATGAAGAGAAGCTAACCTTTAGGGCATTGTATTGTCGTGGAGCCTAGACATTTTCGAATAACATGGTTCTAGAGTTAATTTAAGTAGGCCTCGCTCAGCAGTTAAAAAGAAAATGGCAAGTACGATCGTATGTAGATATAAACGTGTATGTAGGGATATGTAGGGTCTAGGTTTGTGGCAATGTTCGGGTTGTTTGAGGCAAGGGTGGGTTAAGCTGCAGTGAGACGCCTTACACGTTTTGGGTTTCAAAGTCTCATGATCTGCAGTGGGCTTTAGGTTTCAGCCCACGCTCCAAACCCTAAAAGGGCTTCAGTTGCTTTTCTGGACTTAGAGTTGCAAAGTTCTGACCAAGTCACCTTGGGTGACTAGACCTGATGTAGGAGCCTAGTCATTTTTTGCCAGAGTTACAAGGGGCTCGATTTTATATTTATTCTTTCTTGTGCATAAGGTTTTCTGGAAAGCTTTTGTGGGTTCGGTCCGTTTTGTTGAGTGTTCGGCGAGAGGATGAGCACACTTGATTTGTTCTTGTGCCGCCTCTTACTGTCGCGACTTTCCTGGCCACAAGCTATGTCATGTTGCGCAGAGGGCAGCTAGGCCTAGCTAGGCTTGAAGCACTCAGAGCTGTCTGATCGTTTGTACGCCGCACACCATTAGAAGGGTGAGGTAGATGCAACACACTTGAGTAGTATTTTATTTGGGGATACTATGGTACCCATTATAGAGTATTTTGGGGTATAGTATTTTATACAAGGAAAATAATCTTACTGGGTTCAACCACCAAAAAAAACACTACTCACTTCGACTTTGCGAGATGTAGGAGTGCCTGGAGTGGAAAACCAAGCCTCATTAGGGTTTAGGGTCCCAATAATGGACGGAATGGAAAAAAGGAAATGACATGGAAACCCTAGGTCCCCTTAAAGGGGGTATATAGCGTAATATCAAGGGATATTACCCCAATGATAAAGAATCAAATGGAAAATGAAATAGAAGCCGGGTTATATATGAGTTTATAGGGATGAGGGTTTCCCTGAGATGACGGCCCAGCCTGACATTGGCCTAGGAGTCTTCTTGATCTTCTACTGTGCCGTGGCAAGAATCCAGCGCGGCTTGCAGTCGTGTAAGCCCATATAGGTTTGTTGAGGCAGGTTGACTTGGTAGAGCTTTGAGGAGATAGTGAGCAAATTGTGTCAATGCACTTGGAGATTAGCACAGCAAAACGCATGCAGCCCAGCGTAGCCTCCTAGGACATAAACCTTACGGAGGATTGATGCCCAGACCATATGGGCAAGTTCCGAAATGCAGCGAATTTTGTTCCTGCTGTGGATGAAGGAGGTCTTACACCACGGTATTTACCTGATGCTCTGGAATTTCCGTACAATGGGGATACTAAGTGGTGCAAGCTTTCCTCCGTCTCATCCCTTATAATAGGCCTTTAACTAAAACCTAAACTCCAATCCCTATGCCCGCCTAATATGCCCACCTAATATCCCAAACCTTAAGCCTCAATTGATTCCCATCCCGACCTCTGATCCAGCAAACCTAAACGAAACTGTGCCCTAACCAAAGTTCCAGTCGTAAGCCATAAGCTTTAACCTGGTAGACAAGTGGTTAATGGTTTAGGGTTTAGGGTTTAGGGGTTTAGGGTTTAGGGTTTAGGGTATCAAAGTCTAGTCTCCAAGGTTCTTGACGACCCATGTAAAAGCTTCCTATGAAACCACAGGCTTCGAAGCGGGTCTTCGTTTGGCGGCATTCGGTCGCAACATTTTACTGGACCTCGGGTTCTATAGTATTGTATGCCACGCATCCTGCTCTGACTAGTCAGGCCCCTACATTTCAGGAGTATTTTATTTGGGGAGACTTTGGTACCCAATATAGAGCAAGATCATATCCTCCTTTTGGGTGTAGTATTTTGTATAACTAATATAATCTAATTAGGTTCAAGCGCCAAAAACGCACTACTCATTTCTTGTGAGGTTTGATGATTGCAGCTTAAGGAGCTTTAGGCTTCAGGGTTGCGAGGTTCGGACTCGAATTGTTCATGTTCTTTGCAAGGACTTCCTGGTGTTGTATTATGGAAGAATGCTACTGGTATATTATTCTAGCTTCTACATTTCAATTCAAGCTTCCAACTTTTGCATACATCCCAGGTCCTGACAACCGGTAACCCATCTTCCTGCCGCTTGTAACCCTCAAGCCCTCTGTCCCCAGGCACGATACCTGTGGCTCCAGTTGATTCCAAAGCGGATGCCCAAACATCCCACACATTCTTGGCATGAACCTGAAGCCCAATCACCCTAAACCCTGCGCTCCAAACCCTGAACCCTGAACCACAAACCCTAAACCCTATACCCTAAACCCTAGCCCGATCCCCGGCAGGATGTCTGGTTTCTCTCGGACCTTGCGCTCGTTGTCATTGGCATTTTAGCGCTCTTCATCATGCCTGCCCTCGCAGGCGCAGCATAGAAGGGTTCAGGGTTTACAGAAAGGTTTAGGGTTCAGGGTTTAGGATACAGAAAGGTTTAGGGACACAGCCTTGGTTCCCCAGAGATGTGATATGTAAAAGTATGTAAAGCAACACTATAATTGACATCGACTTCTGGTGGTTGGGGCTTCAGGGTTTCATGATTTGGGAGGGCAGTGGCCGGATGCCTCCAAGATCCCTGATTTTTATTTTGAAGATGCAAGGGCATTGTCCTTGCATGTTTCAAGGCGCTGGAATGTTAGCCTCAAAGCAGACACGGTTTCTTGTTCTAGGATTTTTGTAACTAGGTTTGCCTAAATTCTGAACCAACAATCTGCCGTTGTCATGGATAGGGCGGTGTTTGTAAGCACGCCCCAGAGCCAATTTCAGTTCACAGGTAAGATGCTCCATTGTCATTAATGTGCAAATCCCCACAGGGGAATCAACTGGAAAATGAGATGGAAACTAGGGCAGCGTTCTATACTGTAGCGGTTGTAAGTTATAAACGGGATATCGCCCTGTAACATTAAAGTCTCTCCCTCTTCGTCGACCAGCATGCAAAGCTGCAGAGGCCTTCAAAAGCAGGTCTCGGTGTGCTGGATTCTCTCGAGCAAAAGTACCGTGGAACCTGTCCCTCAACCCTAACTCCCCAAACCGTAAACCCCCTAAACCTCTGTCTTTTCACTTCTCCGCTTAGGCCAAAGCGATCCCGTGGCGGTTGAGAAGCTGTTGATTGTGCGTGGTCTCCGTCTCCTTCGCCTGGTGACTGGGCCCAAATGGGAGTTTCTCAAAAAGGGGTGTCCTTTAGGGACCTTAATTATGGGAAATGAGGTTCTTTCTGTTATGCAGTCCTTGCAATCAGGGACACTCAAAATGGACCGCTGATCTTGGGAAACACCCATATCAGGAAAAGCAGGAATTTTAAAAGGTTGGATCATGCTTAGGAATTCTCACATGGGAGCTGCTGTCAATGACAGGCCTCTTTTTGCAGAGCAGCTGCAAGAGGAGGCAAATACTGGGCCATGCCTTTTGGGTTTTGCGAGCGGCCATCTGCCACAGGTACTCGTGTGAGGTATAACAGTTAGTGACGAGGACAGTCATAGATCTGATGGTGAGGTTTTCGGAGAACCTACCATCCCAGCAACTAGCACAAACACAAAGAATCACAGTCTAGGAAGACAGGGGGCATCATCATACGCAGCAATTTTTTGGTTCCTCTCAGACCAGAGATCCAGGTCCGAGCTCTGAGGATGTTTGATCACTTCAAGATCATGTGGCGCCTGGTATATGGCCTGCTTACTGCCGGTCAGACGATTGTATCCACCACGACGCCCGGCTTTAGAATTCACGGGGTCCAGAAACGAGTAGATAAAGATTTAATGCGCTTTTGGGGCCGCGTTTCTTTGTACTTGCTCAGCGCATAGGGGTTTCCAGTGTTGCTAATCAATCGGTAGCCATGCGCCCGAAGTGCAATGGTTTTTGGTTTTACCTTAGGGCCTGTAGGGTTTGGACCCAAGGTCATAGGTATCTCCTTTCAGCCGGTAAGAAATCTTCAGCAAGGACGTTGATGATGGTTTCGCTCTTCGTATTCGGCTGCATTGCTGTGGAGCTCATCGCAAAAGATACCTATCTCCTGGACTACGAGCCTACCCGCGCGATTGTTCAAAAGAAACACGGCTGGGTTTAAGGGCAGTGGAGGATCAAATGGACAAGCCGATGGACAACTAATTCTGGGTTAACATGAACAAGGCCACGGGAACATGATGTAAATGCGATAGTCTTAATGGCATATGAACAACAATCTTTCCACCAAAAAGGGTTCCTTCTTTCAATCCACCATACTTCACAGTCCTTGTGATAGGGACTCCTGAAATAGGATCGCGCCATTTGGTTCCTGGAAATCTACCTACGTGCGAAGTTTCTGGTCTTGGAATGAAGCCATGACCACCCTAAACCCTAAACCTTAAAAAGCCCTAAACCTTAAAAAGCTTCAAACCCAAATCCTAAACCCTAAACCCGAAGCCTAAACCTTGGGCCCTTAGCCTGGACCTTCGCCCTAAACCCTGCTAGATCACAGAAGCAGTCCCGATGCAATTCCCATCAATACTCGCAATGTTGCATGTCTTTATTTCCTGGTAGCCACCTGTAAGTAAGCTCTATGCTCGAAGGAACTTCTTCGGCATCGACAGGCGTCTGAACTCAAAGCTAAGGGTTGGGAGCAGGTGTCGGGTTGAGTGTCAGTAGAAAGGGTTAATAGCCTTTAGGGTTTAGGTTTAGGGTGAATAGAGTTTAGGGATGAGGGTTTAGGGTCATCAGAGTTTAGGGTTTAGGGTTCAGAGCTTTTGAGCTAACGCCACGGGTGGTGTAGGGCCAAGGTTGGGGTTGCGGGTTCGGATTTCTCGGTTTCAGGGTTTGGTGTTTTGAAATGATGGGCCATGATGGGTCTTTTTTGGGGTCCCTATCGCGACAGTTTGCATTCATGTGTATGTAACAAGGCGGGATCTTGAGAAAGTCTTACATCCCAAAGCCAACAACCTAAACCAACTCAGTGTTTCTAGAAATTTGGCTCCCTCGTATCTACCCAAAAATATCACAAGTTGTACTCTGATCAGCTCCCCAAAAGGGACGCCCCCAAACCCTAAACCCTGTTGGGACCCCAGGTCGGTGATGACTCTCGTGCAGTTCATGACTTTGGACTCCGTGGCTGGCGTCTACTTCCCCTTGATCGAGACGCGGACGCACAGTTGGGGGGGATGTGCCGAAACCATGGTCCCAAAGGCCCATGAAGCCCTAAACCTTCAACCTCCTAACATCTTAACCCACAACCCCTCAGCCCTGGGCCCGGAATCATGTGGCTTCGGATCTCTGCTTTAATTGCAACCGGGCATTGGAGGGCTTATGTTGATCGAGTAAAAATGCGCGTTTCTTTCTGTGATCCTTGTGTTGCAGGGAAGGAATCATTCCCAAATTGTTCCGTGTTCAAAATAAAGACCGCTGGATGGGTGAATTTCGGATCTCTAATTTGCTCATTATGTGCAGTGCATGTCCATCTCCCCTCTCCCTCTCTCATAAATGACCCTGCAAGGGGTACTACGCCCATCAACAGATGAAAGATCCGAACTGTGGGTTCCGACCTTAAAAGCGTGCAGTCGAACGGATTCGTCATGGTCTCTGCATGCTTCTGCCCAAGTTGTGGTCCATATTTCTGAAGGTTCTACCTTAATTTGTTTGCATGTGCCCAACCAGACGACCCTGGCCTTATGCAATCAAGGAAAGGCGACCTTACTTGTGCCTGGGCGATGATCAAGAAATGACTGCACTCAAGGGTAGGCGTTGTATGTGCCCTAGCCCCAAGTTCGGGCGGGAGAGGGGCTTTGTCAAAACGATGGCTCCTGGGCGGTGTTTTCACAGAAACAGGGGTCCAGCTAATGCCATATCATAGTAACATATCCCGTTTTGTAGCACACCCAATGCAGGGACCCTGAACTTTTGGAAAACCTTCGTCGCTAAGGATTCATGACCTGATGTAGAGGGCTTGTGGTCCGGGGGACATAGTACGTAGGTTTATTAAGGGGATAGCTGGGGTTGCTCTATATGGGTTGTAGGGTTTGTAAGCATACTTAGTAAGCTCCCCGGACCTTCCAAGTACATCTTGTTGGAGTGGGAGGCAGTGCTTTGCATGACTGATATACTTCTGGGTGACAATTGCGGGGACTTGCTGTTAGAAGCCTCATCCCTAAACCTGGCGGCTCCTGCCCTGCCTTTGTTTGTATGGGCGCGAAGCATCAAGGAAGACTTGGCCACTTCTTTTCAGGGGAGTTGAATCGGGACAAGCGACCAAAGTGCTAGTTGCATGCATCGCCATCCATTTGGCTTCACTCAAAAGATTAGCAAAATCTTCGTGTGCAAGTACAAAAGGGTACACCTTTCTTCACGTGTGCAAGTACAAAAGGGTACACCTTTTGAAGAATTTGCCGCCAGAGCTCCCGAATCCCGTACAGCCCGCAAAGCAGTCCGAGGGCGATGTTTTTCCTGCCTCTCCTTGTCATCATCTCGATTGGACTGATGAACTTGGCCGCCTGGTTGGATGTGGACAGAATGGGAACTTCAGGGGTTGTCAGGGGTTGTGTTCTATCCAGAGGGCGGCTCAAATTTTCATGTGTGTAAGTGCACGGGGCTGTTCATATTGGGTCCGTGCTATTTATTCGGCATCCGGGGAAGCATCATCCCCCGGCGGCAGGAAGCCCTATTTAAAGGCCCTGCTTGCTGCAAGGGTCCAACATGTGACCATGTGCTTGGAAATTGCTATTTGTCATCGGTAAGCCCTGGGGGGAAGTGATCATGTTGCCCCTCATGCTCATCGGTGAGGTCACAGCAGCAGTGCTTCAGCGCCTTGACTGCAAGTTGGCGAGTTGGCGGCTGTTGACTTTGGGTAGAGCCTGAACATTTAGCCGTTTCTGGTTCAACCATGCAAGCAACTTTTGACAGCTGGCATTTGCTCAGGAACGCAATGGAGCATGCTGCTGAAGAACATGAGGAAGAGAAGCAGGATACCACATGCTGAGCCAAGTTGGGGTCTTGTTGCCATGCGGCTTTTTTTGCACAGTAGGAGACCCCCCCAATTAAACGCAACCATCGGTCCTTCTCACAGGAAGAGAAACGATAGTGCCAAGATCAGGCTTGGCGTTTAGGACCTTTAGGGTTCCTTCCGGTTAGGACCCTATTTCATGCGCGATTTTCATGAGGGACGCCAACACAAGTGGGTAGGTTCGTAGTGTGCCAGGGTTGCTTCATTACACGCTGCTGAAACCCGAAACCCAGAAACCAGAACCCTACTTATTAAAGATAAGCCCTGAGCGCTAAACCTAGGTGTAGGTCTGATGCTGGCGGGTTTAGGCTTTCGCATGGCATTCGAGCTTCAGCTGGTTAGGCGTCGAACATGGTTCAAGCAAGGTCTAGGGTTCAAGGTATGTCAGTGTTGGATGAGTCTGTTCATTTCTGAAGAGGACCACGGTGGCTACAATCAGTCATCAGTCTTGCAGTTGTGTGCGTTGCTTTCGCGACTAGTGACTCGCATTATGCCAAGCTTGCTTCCAACAGGCGAAGCTGGGCACAAGACAACAGATGGGTGTGAAGGTTGAGGGTGAAGGCAAACTGTAAACCTTGCAAGTACATCGAAATCCCACGGGTCTCAACCCCGATCAAGCGGAGGACATGCGCGTCAAGGTCAAAGATGCGATCCCTTCTTTGATGGACTTGTTCCAAGCTCTTGACAAGGAAAAGGGCTGGGCCGTAGGAAGGGTAAACCTAGGCCACGGAACCGAATCTTCCTAAGCGGTCCTTCATACTTCCAAGAGCTCTTCTGCTTTGCGACTCCCTTGGCAGGGTTCACACTAGTATTCTCACCCACAAAAATTGCCTTGTTCACCAACTTGTTTTGGTACGGGCGTTCGTAGTGACTAGTGGGTTGAGTGTGAGCTAACTCCCAGTATCCCCCTTAGTAACCCCTGTAATACTCTCCTATACAATCCCGTGTATAACCGCTTTCATGAGTGTAGACTATTCCTGTGAGAAGGCAAAGCTCTTTAAAGTCCCTGCCAATACATCAGTCCGTGACAGCAGGGAAGGGCATGACAGAAGGTGTCAGGTTTGGTTGTTGGGCTTACGGTCCATGGTTTAGGGTTTAGGGTTCACGGTGACGAGGTGGCACTTTGGGATGGTTAATACTTCCCCGTATTGGGGTATAAGGGACCCTGCTCATGATAATTTTTTGGGTGGCCTTTGACGTATCACCCAGTTTAGGCATTGCAGTTCACTTGTACAGGCTTTTGATTGTCTTCTTTGCGATCATTGGTATGGTCATGTCTAGCTCGGATGTTTATTTGTGGGTGAGCGAGCCGCCTTGACGCCACCATCTCATCAGCGGTAAGCCCTAAACCCTAAACCCCCCAATCCTAGATGAAGGTCTAAAGCCTAAGTAGGAGTTCCAGGTCATACAGGCACAATAGCAGCACAACTTCTGAACCCGGGGTTTCAGTGGTTCAGGAGGGCACGATAGGGGAGTTTCTAAACACCATCCCTGCGCTTAAAATAAGGGTTTGGTTAGCGTTTTTGTCCCTGAGTAGTCCCTAGAGTATCCCAGATAGATTCGGGGACATAGTTTTGCCAGGGTGGAGGGTGCTCAATATTATCAGGAAGGAATTGCAGATGGAAACCGCAGACCCAAAACCCTAAAACCCCAAATTCTAAACCCTAAAACCCGAAACCCTAAAACCCCAAACCCTAAACCCTAAAACCCCTATCCCTACACAGCCCCCCCATGGTTAGAGGATGGCAATGGCACCATCACGCACAAAGAGCTGGAAACTGTGGACATTGACGTTTTGCCAAGCAAGTTTCTTCAAGCGGCGGTCTGGCTGAAACCCCTGATGGTCATATTGGGGTCATATTGGGATAATGCAAAATAAAATGGAAACTACTATTTAGGGTTTAGGGTTTAAGGTTTGAAACCCTCAGACTAGGTTTCAGGGTGAAACATCATGCTGCATGAGCTGCAACCATAATTTACAGGGGAGGTTTCCCTGGTACGGATGGCCTGTTCGCATGCCTGCATCTTCCGCCAAGACCCAGCCAGAAGTTAGGTATCCCAGAGTTTGTGTTGTCGCAAGTTGCTGCACTAAGGATAATTCTGAGCATTGCGTTGTGTAGCTTGTGAGGCTTTACACCTAAAAAGCCGAACCCGATGCTCCACCCGGCTGGGGCCGGATGTGTTAAGACATGAGCAGCTACTGTCCATAAGGGTGGACATAGGGGTCCCTCAGGTAGTTTTGTAGTATAGACCCGAAAATGCTCCTTCATAAGGACCCATATGGCTAGTTTTTCACAAGGCGTCCCATCTTATTCTACAGTGGACCATGCTTTTGAGAAACTCGCCTTTCTTCTTTGCTGGCCGTGAAAGGTGCATGCAGAGAGACTGGGCAGCCATTTAGTATAAGGCTTGGTTTGCCTGAAAAGTAGCAGCCCCCGACGATCATATGTTGATCGTATACTCTGTCAACTGCATCATTGCAACTGCTGCTCTGCTGCTCTTGCTTCTGCCACTACTTCCCTAAACCCTAAACCCACTACGTCTACTACTTCTACTTCTGCTCGTAGGCTGTTGGGATGCCTATGAGCGAGCATTCCAATTCTCAAGAGTTTACAGGGTTTGTACATTTGCATGTTGCTTGACCCACAGAATGGGGGTTTCGAAAAATGCACCCAAAAGGCGGCTAATTTTTAGAACCCTCTCCCCCCGAATCGTGACCAAGGAATATTTTTGGAGTTGGTACCAGTGCTAGTAGTAATGCCGGTACTAGTTCGGTACCACTCAGTCCTAGCTAAGGAATATGGTGGAGTTGTTTGATCTTCTCGACGTGGAAGAGAGTGGGGAGCAGCCAGATTGAATTTTCAGCAGCACTCCCTGGCATTCATTGCAGGATGTTTGGAGGGTTTCCAAAAATTAGGCCCTCAGAGGGCCTATAATGAGGATCATAGTGTGCTGGGGCACATAGGAGAGACTCCATATTCGGAATTAAGTACCATCTAGGAAGAACACACGCCAATTTGGTCATTGACTGTTGCATCATGTGATGCCCCGCAAGGTTCACACATGCATCTCCGACCTGCGCCTCACAAACATGCAGCGACGATCTTTGAATCACACACCTTGAATACTGTCCCCGTGGGGTAACAGTTGGACAATGTTGAAAAATGACCTTAAAGTCCTCAGTTTTGTCCATGTTGCAGACTGTTACTGGGTGGGGCTAGTGCCCATCACATACCTTGAGCTGCGCTCCTCCCAATCGCTGCGCGGCCAACATTTTCATCGTGCGGACTAGACAACTATGCACGTAGATTCATGGCTGCGAATTTTCAGGACCCAAACAGTGGATGCCGCTGCTGGGATGTAAAAAGGTTCACAAGATATTTCCGGTCGACACCAGCATGCACGGACACAACAAGCCTGCTATTGCTAGATGATTGCTTCCGAAAACGAGGGGCGTCACAGGGTAAACGCCCAGAATATGAGGATTTAGATGCGCCACTCCACAAGGCGCTAAGCCGCTAAGCCCTCTATCCACTGATGGCAGCCAAAGGCCCGCATGGGCTCTTTGCCGGTTTGGGGTCTTGGGAGCTTCAAAGTCAGAAGAAGGGTTTATACCTTTGGCCCTAGAAGCCTGGAGTCCTCTCTAAACCCTACAGCCTGAACCGTGACAAGAAATCAAGGCTAACCCAAACGGCCTTCATCGAGGGAGTCCTCAGCTTGTGCATGCTGGACATGCCTGTGTCTGCTCCTGGGCTACAGTTTAGTCAGGGATCCCGGAATAAAGAGTTTAGGCTTTGAGGACTCAGGGCTCCGTCTCGGGTTTGCATGATAAAAGGGGTTTATCTTCTTAAAGCTTGAAGAAAACTCGAGGACACTCGCTACCTCTAGGGGTGTACCTTCTTTTTTGACTTCAGGAGTTCAAACTTTCCTGAGCCCCACATCAGGAGTTTGGAGATGACGATTTAGGCTATTTTTGTTCAAGGCTTCGGGGTTTAGGATGTTAAGCTGCAAAGGAAAGGTTTTTGAAAGATGTTAACTGGGATTTATGTCTGCGGGTTGCTGCAGAGTGTTGGAGTTGGTCGCCTCAGGGCAAAGCAGAAGAAATGGAATCCAAACCCCCAAATTCCCTTGTGCACGCTTAGATGCAGGCCTTCATGAAGAAGCCGTGGAAGCTTGAAGCCATGAAGAAAGCCGGGGTCTAGGTTTCTTTTCGTCAGACATCCGCCTTTGGCTTCAGCAATGTGCAAAAAGTTCAGCGCCCACAAATTGCAGTCGTTCTTCAGGCATCGCTTTCTCCTCCATGCGTGCTCTAGGATTACTTGGAAGGCTCTGAGCCACAAGAAGGAATGCAGGAGGGGCTTCTAGGGACTATTGAGAGGCGAGTCCAGAGGGACCTGTAGATATCTTTCTTTCAATCCCTTAATCCGAAACCCTGAACAGCATAGCTGCATCCACTTTCTTTTCCATTCCTCTGTTCTCTACTGATCACCACTATAGATCCTGCACCCACAACCCTGAATAACACAGATGTGTCCATTTTTGTCTCGATTCTCTTATAATGACCAGTGCTTGGTTCAGGAGAATCTTGACTTCATTATACATGGACTCATAGCCAAATTACAAGCCCCGCCCTAGGTCCCCGGATGTGGTTATGTCGGGGATATCAGTACCAGTCATCATTGGGTAATAATTACCGCCCGGGACCCTAAACCCTAAACCTGAAACCGTGTGTACGGACAACCCTCCCAGGCTGTTCAATCACTGAAGCTGCTCCGTATGATTCTCGACGCCTCAAAGAGGATCGAGTTAAATTTGCAGCGGATGACGATGGTTTAGGGCAAAGGCTTCTACGGCTAAGGGGTTGAAGGTTTAAGAGGTTTAGGTTTTTGGATCTAGGGAGAGTTAGAGTTCAGGGTTTACGGAGGTTTAGGGGCCTTCTTGATATGGAACGCTGGATATTCCCGAGGACTCCAATCCAGTACTGCTTGGATTCCCCAAGTACTCCTAAGATTACACCGCTGTTCACGGGTGCGAGCCACCCGAAGTGTCCCGAAGATTTCGCCTGAAGTTTCTGGAATATCCGGCTACGTTCAGATATTTCAAGGCACAACGAAAGCTGAAGCGTCTGGCAGAGCTTTACCGTGCATTGTAAGTTTTTTCGATGCTGAAAGTAGTCCTGCACCACCAGGTTTCTTTGAGAACTCAAGGTTCCTGGAAGCAATATAGGGACAATGTAGGCGGCTATACAGGAAAATGGCATAGGCCCAAATGTCGGGGACCTCAAAATCGACTGCCAAATATTATCGTCCTTAGTAGAGGGAGCCCCCATAGAGGGGATTCCCATTTTTCGGAGACCACTGCTCCCCAGAAGCACCTACATGTCCACAGTTTCCGTTTCAGTCACAATTGTCTTTTCCACTTGATTCCCTATCATTAGAGGCAATATCCCAAAACCCAAAATAGGTTAGTAGTTTCTGTTTCCCTTCCCATTTTCCAATCAAAAACACCTAAACAGTAGTTTCAGTTTCATGTTCCATTTTTGTTTCCGTTTCATCGTCCAGAATTGGAGGCAATGTCTTTATATAATCCTTATCTAACTCCAATATACACCTTTTTCTAATAAAGTAGTTCGAATTCTTCCGCGGCCCTTTATTATGGAGGATGGTGCAGGGCTTTCTGCAAGAGCAGTTGGCAGCAGGTGTAGGTCTCGTATCGCACCTGCCTTGCTGTGAACGCTGCCGAGATCAAGTCTTTCATTTCACTGTTTGGCATTTTCCGCGCAATGATTAAAGTAGGGAGACATGAAGGGATATAATGTACAAAGGGATTATGCAGGAATACGTAGGGCCACACATTTTTTGGGGTTGAGTGCATGTCCAATTTGCAAGGAGCTCTCTCAACCAAATTTACGTCTTCATTGTACAAGGATCATGATGCGCATAAGTATCCCAGAGGGCTTGCCTCAAGGCAATGGTGAACTTGGATGCTGGAGGATTTTGAAGCCTCATGGTTTCGTAGCTTCTTGCGCTCTTTGCCAAACTTTGGAACCCGAAGCAAAGATAACAGGCCATGATGCCTCAAAACTGTGCTGTGTAGTCTGGCGAAGCCTGGCGAGCAGCTTCGCGAGCAATTCCGCATCGCAGACCCGTGCGAGTGTCACAAATTGGTAAGTGACTCTTATGCAAAGTATCCTTAAGCAATATACTTCTGGGGTGGTAGACTTCCAATAGCCGTTTTGAATTTTGCTGTCCGGGCCTCTTTAAAGAGGCTCAACACTTAATTGCAATATCCTTTTTATGCTAGCTGCTCCTGGTGGGTGCAAGAAAAACTTTAAGCTCACAGTTTGAAGCCCAACAAGCTCGAGTACAAGCTTGCCACGCTTACTCTCTTTGATATACTTCATGCTTATGGGTTTGAACCGTTCCATATACCATACAAGGCTTCGTGCAAAGCCATTAAAACAATTCGGTGAGTCGATGAGTTACATGGTCAACTAAGTCAAGCAAGTAACTCACTTTGATTTGTCTGAACAAAATGATTAATTTCACACTGCTGCATTGTATACCCTAAGTCCGAAACTTCGAAACCCTAAACCCCTAAATCCTATGCTATTCAAGAAACACCCAAAAAGGGCCAGCTCTGCTGTTTATTCTAAAGGCCTGCCGCTCCAACTATGAATCCTCAACTTCCGCAAGCCTCGCCGGAGCCGTACGCCGTATGGTGACATTAAGATCCGGAAGCCCAGAAGGTCTGAGTCTTAGGAATTATGTTCTTGCTGGGATGAAATTCCCAATTCAAACCTGCCCTACACCTCAAGGCAACCTTAGACTCCTGCGAGATAGCTGCATCCGCTGCAGCCATTTTTGTGTCCACAGGGAGGCGCACTTGTGCCACCATATCATAGGTCACTTGACTGCATTGCCTTTCATCATAGGGTTTCTAATCGGTGGCCCGCTTTCAATTATAGGAATTGTATTCAGCTGGCCGCGTCGGTCTTCAAGCCACTTCGTATAATCTTTAGCGCCCCGCGAATCCCCTGGGTCCCTACATGTCTCCAGGGTTTCAAGGTAATCTTGATTTCAAGCGATTTTGCTACTGTGGGAGGTATTAGAGAATATCAAAAGCTAGCCAAACTTCATTTAGGGTAGTGTTCAGGGATTCTAATTTCAGGGGATCCCACATTCTTCACTGCCTGATTATTGGCCTTGGGTTTTGGATTTAGGTTTAGGGCTTCGGATTTTGGGAGTAGGATTCACAATTGAGCGGTTGTTTGTCAGCCCAAGCTCAGCTTTATCCTAACTTACCATGGTGGGAGCTCACAATTCAGAAGGAGGACTGTGGAACGGGTGTTAACAGGGCTTAGCCACGGCTTTTTTCAGCTTTCCGTGCCGTTCGCCTGTTGTCACCAACCAAGCCCACGTTTGCATTTACTCTGGCCTGGCTTCTTGATGACATCTTCAGTTCGGACAAGCCCTATAGTTTCTGTGGATTTTGCAGAACTATTTTTCAAGACCAAGTACTACGACATCAGCCGCTGCCTCTTGTAACGTTGGCTGACCGGGCCTTCTGCACCATGCTCTGCCGTACACATGTTAAACAGCAGAGCCCACAAGCTACACCCTCAAGGCTGTAAAAATCATTCTAGAACAAGCCAGCAGTTTGGAGCTCAGGGTTCCAGGAGTAGGACGTAATGTCATGATCGTCATAGTGGTAGCGGCCGAAGTCATGGCCATGATGACTGCAACCATGCCGTTGGCAGTAATGATCATTATCCAATCATCATAGCAATGAACAGGGCGAGTCAAGTTGTGTACAACAGCTATTCATGCTTCTTCTGTCTTTCGTGCATCCTCAGTTTTGCCGCCAGAAAACACAAGCCTCTAGACCCTGAAGCCCTCCAGACCTTGTACCCTAAAGTCAAAGAAGGCCTACACCCCACACCCTAAAAGCCCTGAAGGCTCCGAATGCTAAACCCCTAGCCCCGAAACCTCTAAATCCCCCAAACCCTTACTCCCCCCCTTACTCGCCCCTGACCCCCCCCTCCCAACCGCATCCCCCCCAACCACAAATCACACAGCTCCAACCTCTTCCCTGTCACCGCAAGGTGCCTGGATTCCCTGCACTCTTGCTCGGCAGTCGCAGCCTCTGGCATTGTGTTTACCCCTATCCCTAGAGTTTCCATTATATTTTCCATTATCCCCATAGAACCCCATGTTATACCCTTAAATTCTAGGGTTTACAGTTGAATGTTTCGGATTCAGAGTTTAGGGTTCAGAGTTTCATTCGAGTTGTCGGTTTAAAGTTTCAGGTTCAAGGCTTAGAAAATCAAGTTTCTAGGTCAAAGTTTAAGGTTCCAGGATTCAGAGTTTAGGGTTCAGGGTGTGAGAGTTTGGGGCTTAGGGTTTAAGGCTTTGGGTTCCGGAGTTGTGCCTACCTGGGAGAGGGATTCCTCTTATTCTCCCGTTTCGGATTCTCGTCTTATGGGTCCAGGCTCTCAGATGATCCTTACTTACATTAAGACGCAGCAAGAGGATGGCCTTGTGCTCCGGTATGCGTGAGATTCTCCCAAGATGGGAACCTGGATGAGGAGTCTACCCACATCCCACTGAACCTCACCCTAAGCTATGAAGCCTCATAGCGGTTCTTAGCCCCCCAAAGGTTTTGTGTCGGCGACGATGGCGTCCTCTTTTCCCACCAACCAAGCAATCGTCGTCGGGGGCGGATTAGGAGGCTGGCATCAGGGCATGTTGCAGGCTTTAGAGAGTGGGATCTACTTGGTTGGAGGTTCATTGGGTTTATATAGGGATAATACCCCAGTAATGGAGAATCAAATGGAAAAGAAACATCAAAAATCAAAAGGACGCTTGGAATATTATGGGTTATATGGGTAGTGGTATATAGGGCTAAAGGTACAACAGGTATCAATAACGAACTGTCGCTGAACCTGCAGGCAGCTTCCTTGATCCTTGATATCATTGGTGTTTCCGACAAAGTGGTGATTTAGGGTCAGAGTCCTATACTCAACAGCGCGCAGGTGGTTCCCAAAACCTTGGCTGAAGTTTATAGGGCATCATCGTGAATTTGTGAAGCTTTCGCTATTTGTAGGTACGGTTGGCTTGGGCAGAACCAGTGGTAAGCATTCCTGTTGCAATTTCTTTCTTGTCGCTGTATGTATGTGCTACACGTTGCAAGCCAAGTGGATTCGGTTTACTTGCTGGAGCCCAGAGTTCGAACGCATCACTCACATCATTATTATGATGCTGGCTTCAGTGTGTGCTTTCCTCTTCAGCTGCTGCCTCTGCAGCACGAATCCGAAAATCCCTAAGACCTGAGGCTGATCTTGCTGGGCTACCCAAAAAGTGATAGACCGATGTTTTAACCAGCCGATCCCTCAACCAAGAGAAGGGAATACTTGCTTTCCTTGTTTTGTTCTCAACGTGAGGTCAGGCATGGCAGTTTCGGCCGCTCTTTGAGCTGTTCATGGGGCTCGTGTTTCAGCTTAGCTTACTGGTTCTTAGTAGGGCTACATAACCTCGATATACAATACTATTCCCATGTTCCCTCCTGAGACCCAGCAAGTTAGTGTGCTTGAGATTCATATCGAATTGTCAGAAGTGAAGATTTCAGGGCGAGCTTGCAATCTGTGGGGCTACGGCGGCGCTGCAGGGATTTGGGGTTTCGAAGCTTTCCAAAATACTATAGACTATAGTCCTTGTTATAGGAAAACCCAAAACGGCAGCCTTGTTTTTTTCACCAGTTCGGGTGGTGTAGGATATCAGGTGGGTCTTCAGCAGTGACGAAAACTCGGGCAGAGAAAGCAGGATGTTTAGGGCCCACTTAAAGTCCAGTTCAAGGCTTCTTTGTTCTATGTTTGTGGTTGGGGTACTGAAACCTCAAACATGGAAGTAATTCGCCAGGCATGTCTGCCGCCAACACGGTGGTCGAATGCGGCGGCCGTGTCGTCTTGCTGGACGGGGGCTTTCATAGGCTTGACGGACAACAATCTTTCATGATCCTATGCAGACCCTCCGCACTAAGCCCAAGGTTCAAAATCTGCAGCCTTAAGTCCCAAGCCCTCAACCCTGAGCCCCTCAAAAATGTCAAGAATGTGTTATCTAGAGTTCTGCTGTGTTTTATCCTTCAACTGTGCTTTCCATCAACTGTGCTTCCCATGGTTGGACTTCGGCCGTCCAAAGGTTGATTTAGGCGGAGAGTTTACAGTGTAGGGTGTAAGGCTTGCATGCAGGAATTAGGGTTTAGGAACATTCGGTGCACGGCTTGGTTCAAAGAGTGCTTCAGGGTTTGGGGTGTATAGTTTTAGGAAGCGCGGCTTGTGGTTCAGGGTTTGGGGGCCTTGGGGCTGAGGGCTTCAGGTATTGGGGCTGAAGGTTTCGGGTTTAGGGTTTGGGGGCGGTGGTTTCGGTGCTCAATATGGAGGCAGAAGGAGCATTTGTGAGCGTCAGCGGGTGTTGTGGTGAGAGAGAAAAGCCTCCCGAGTTCGGGGCTGAGGTGCATGCGAGGTTCTTGCGAGAAAGATGAGAAACAAGTCATTGCAGTCCAGATGGTTTCGTCTCGTGATTTTTTGGACAAATAACCCTAGACCTTAAACCCAATTGTAGTAGCTTCCATTTTGTTTTCCATTATCCCTATTGATAACCCCAACATACCATGAAAAGTCAAATCCGCTATTGCTAGGAGATGGTCCAGGAACTTTAGTTAAGAGCCTTGAGCATTCCCTCCATCCCCAGACGGCTCTTGGTTGAAGGAGAGTTTCAATGACGGTAGGGCAGGCGTCAGCGCGGGTGATTGAACAAGCCATACTGAAGGAAATGTTGAAAGACCTTCTTGTTCATGTTGACTTCAACACAAGTTAGAACGACACATCTATTGGTAAAAAGTACTGTGCAAGATCTCAGGGCCTTTCTCTGATTTCATTTGCATACGGACTTCTTTCTGCAAAGGAAATGAAGCTCCAGACCCCAGTCCAATTCTAAACGCCAAGGCCCAAGGCCCAAGCCCTAAACCCCCAACCGCAACCCCAATTGTATGAGCTGTAGTCTAAACTCCTTAAAGGGTGATTTAATGTGCTGATTATATAGGGGACTGTGATAGGGGTTGCGAAGGGTGATACTCGGAGTTTAGACTGCAGCTCAAATAGGTTTAGGGTTTAGGGTCAATCCCAGCATCCAACCCCCAAAGCATTCAAAAGCCCCCACACTATTGCTGTGGTATGCGAAGGACAAGTCGTCCTTCTGCGGCGGGAAGCTTTTGCTGATTTGTACGTGAAGTAGGGGTCTTGTTATGTTTGCTGTGAGAGTCCATCGAACTCCTTCGGAAGGGCCATGGGTCTATGAGTGGGGTCTCCGTTCTTGTGGGGGCCGTCTTGGTTTTGGGTTCAGGCTTGTGGGTTTGGAGCGTAGTTTTCAGCCTAAGCTATACCTACAAACCCTAAACCCTTTAGGCTTTTGGACGGCGGCTTGCAGGATGAATGAGCATGCAGGCCTCCTAGGCTTCAGACAAGCCCAAGTCTGGGATGCCCCTGCATTCAAGGAACATGCTATAAACACTGTACAGGTTCTTTGTATGTTTTAAAGCATGTGACTCATCCCACGAGAATTGAGCTCTTTGAGTAGTCTGGCTGTTTTTTGCTTATCAACAACATGCATGCGAGTGGTATCAAACATGTGTCCTCTTTACTTGCGCTTGAATTGGTTGAGTCTTTGCGTAGACGATCCCTAATTGGTCCGCGATTTTGCATCACCGCTTTCCTACATGGCATCTGCACAGTGAGAGAGCATTCAGAACATGGCCCGGCTTCGAGAGACATTAACATGTTTGCAGTGGCGAATGCTGCATGTCATTCCGTTCCGTGTCATCTGTACATAAGTATGGTGGGGGAGCGTATATATCCCTATAATAATCCCAATAATGCGCCTTATAATGTATTTGGAAAGGCTAAGCAGAAACACCGATCAAGAATCAGCTGAGGAACAGCACGAAGGCGACGTCCGGCATCAATGGGGCAGGTGCAAGAGATGCCCGGTCTACGGAAGCTAGGGTTGTGTGGGGGAGGGGGTATAGGGATTATACAGGGATATGTAGGGATATTCCGCCAATAAGAATCAAATTGAAATCACAGGGAGATCGGAATGGAAGCCACAAATTTATGGGGTAGATCCCTCGCGACCTGCCGAAGCGGACAGACGCACAAGAAGAACTCCTTCAATAGGGGACTCTAGAAGGGAACGCAGGGTATTTAGATTTGTGGATTTGCCAGAATCGCTGTTTTACAACCCTCGTAAAAACATATACCCTGATCCCTAACCCCAAAATGATCCGAAACCTTGCTTCAATTATTCAGGACCCCACATTGAGAGTTTCCCTTCCCAGCATATTTAGGGGTGACTATGGAGCTATTCATGGGACCCAAAACCCTACTGGTTGCAAGGATCATGTCAGAGTGCAGGGTGATGCTCAGGAATACTGTGCTATAGCGGCTTAAATTCTTTGAAATGATCTAGCGATCGTGTAGGAATCAAGTGAGTACAAAAATGAAGTGGACGTACCGGTGATATAAGATTTTGCACATACTGGTGATGATTTAGCACTTAAATTGGAGGTTCTCGCGCGCCTCAGAAGTACCAGACAGCCAGTTCCGACTCGAATGAATATTAGCACGGAAATGCTTGTCTTAAAACTGGTAGTTGTCGATTTTCTTTGAAGCATGCTGTCTTCTTGGGAACGTGCATGCAACAATGCCTGTGCGCGGTACATTGCATTTTGGGATCAGTACTCCTGGTAAGCTAAAACAGAGAATACCTTATCTGCCCCCAAACCCCTAAACCCATGTTCTTGTGAAGTCCGTGTTGTTGTTCCTGGCTTGGGATTGAAGGTTGGGCTTCTAAACCCCAAACCCTCTGCTCATTGTTCTTTGGAGTGGCCGCTTAGGATCCCAACAAACCCGACCCTCAACATGCTTTAGGGTTTAGGGGTTCAAGAGTTTAGGGTTTAGGGATTTAGGGGTTCAGGGGTGAAGGGTTTGGGGTGTAGGGGTTTAGGGTTTAGGAACCCCTCGGGCTTTAAGTAAGAGTCCATGGTTGTGGTCCGTGGCTGCGGCCTTGGAGAAACAGCTGCAACCTCCGAACTTTAAGCCTTTCAATTTGTTGGAGCTAGGGTATGTGGAGGTCAAGCATACAGGGTTTAGGGGACAGGGGGTTCTGGGATGTTCGTCTCCATAGTTTTTTCATTAGCGCCTGTCTGCGCCGCGGGGCGGCTTTGTCGCACCCTGTGTTGTAGGGGTTTCTCTGTTTTTTTTTGCGGGCTTTTAGCCCACGTGCCTTAAGGAACACGGTTTTCCCACTTCTGCGCGTTTCATCACCATGGACCAGAGTCGATGTATATTCTCTATAGACCCACAAGAGTTTTATTCTTATATTGACTTATATTCCCCAAATCAATTCCAGCGTTTAGCCTTGAGCTCCCGAAGGCACCAAGACTCAGAAGGCCAACGGCATCCCCGACAATGCAGAGATCTTCACTCAGGAGCCTCCAGTAGGGATTTAGGGTTTAGGTTGAGGGGGGCCCCAATATAGAACCCCAGACACGAGAATCCTTATTCTAGAGACCCTCGAAAATGGACGCTTGATTTTCGGACCCCTGACTACTGATGATAGGTAGGTTGTAGTGTTGAGGGCGTGTTGTTCTGGGATGATAGGGTTTAGGGTGTGCTGTAGGGTGTACGGCTGAGGATCTACTTCCTATTTTCAGGATCTCACCATGAGTCATGACCTGGTTTCCAGGATTTCGTAAGGATTGCAGAACGTGGTATTGGCAATTGCTGCGAAAATTAGGGAGATCGAACAATCCTATGGGTGTCCCAGACTAGGGATTGCAAGTAATGATTTCTGCAACGATGGGTCTCATAGCTTCCAGCCAACTCGTAGAATTCTTTCCAGCTTCCGGCAAGTTCGCTTGGATAACAGAGGCGCTTCAAGTGAACGAGTTGGAAAGCCTTGAACCTTCCGGAACGGAAAATGAACTTCTCGCCTGAAACAACTAGACCCGTAGGGTTTGTCTCCACTGCACCACCCAGATGTCAACAGCGCTCCAGAAAAGGGCCTTTTCATCTTCTGAGCTCGTCTATTGGTCTGGCCGATTCTTACATCGCAAACGCTGTTTCAGTAGCAAAGGTACTCCTTTTTTGGGAACTTCCCAAAGCCACGTGAATTCCGCGCGAACCTTGAGGTAACAGTGGCTGTAGAATTCCACCTGTGCCCAAAAAAGAAGGACACGCTGAAAGGCGGAGCAAAGAAGCCTGAGCTTGCAAAGCAGGGGGCCCCGGCTTTAGGGTTTGGTGTTTAGGGGGGCCCTGGCGTTGGGGTTGTGATTTAGGGGGTTTATGCATTTTGAGGGTTCAGGGCTTTAGGGTCAGGGGTGTTTCGAGTTCAGGGTTTGGGGTAAGGTGTTGTGAATCAGAGGCTTGATCCAGCTAATGGGTAGCTGTTTCGCCTTGGGTGCACAGGAATGGATGCCCCTGGTACAGAAATTCATCGGCTCTTGCTACAAAGCTGGGTCAGACAGACTGGCAGATAGATTGGAATGACGGGCAGAATGAACACAAGTTGTGTTACAAAGCCTAAGCCCTAAACCATAGGTACTATAGTCTAAACTCCTAAGGGATGATATAGGTGAGTATCATAAGGGTTCTTAAGGGGGATACTAGGAGGTTAGACTACAGCTCATATCATCCTTGGTTCATGTCTTGAAGTGCACAGCTCGCTTTGAGCTCCGCTGTGCTCCGCTGTGCCTCCGTGATGGATTGAGTACCCTCCCTTAAGGCAATGGGCTCAAGCCACCTCCTTTTAATAAAAAGCGGTATACTGGGAGAATGGAAAAGAAAATAGAAACTACTATAATAGTATATTGGGGTTATAGGGAACAATTGAAAAGAACATGGAAACTATCATAATGGGGTTATATAGGGTTTAGAGTCTATTAGGGTTTAGGGCCGTGGTCCGTATGGGGGGATGTCGTCGTTTGTGCTGCTGAGGCTGTTGTGCGATAACAGTGCAGATGACGTGGTTTCCTGGCGAAGCATTTGGAAGAAATTTGGAAGAGGCCGCTGGCCACGTCTTGAAATGGGTTTACACTCCTACAAGCCAAGCTGTTTGTTAGAGGTAGGAACCGTTAACGAACCCATCGCGACCCCAAACCTAAAACCCTAATTCCCAAGCCAGGATCTTTGAGCATAGACCTAAAGTGCATAGCTATACTTACCGGTGCTTGAGGGTGGATCCTCATAATAGTCCCCATATTATAGTCCCCATATGCAACCCTATAATGGGCCCAGCCTCTCCCGGCCCTTGGCTAGATCTTTGGAAAATCATTTGATTCTTTTCATGGGTGTGGAAGGGGGCTCACGAATGAACGTGTTTACGAGTGCAACTCAGAAGAACGCTTGCAAGCAAAGCTTGTGGCATTTTGTTCATGTTACCATCTCTTACCCTAAGGGTGAGGGGGCCAAATAATAGGGGTTTAGGGTTCAAATACTATAATATAAATGGTATTTGGGCCCTAAAGCCCTATCATTTGGGTCCAAGGGTTAGGAACAGGATCAGAACTTCCGGTGCAAAGCAAAGTGCAGCCTCAGTGGTGATGTGCAGTCTGCCACAACTCTGGATCAAAGTTGGAAAGTGGCTTCATTCTCTACTGTACTCTACACCCTGTTGTGGCTTTCAAAGTGTATCCCAATGTGGAGTCGGAGCTACCAGCCTAAGGATTGGCTGGTGGACAAGTTCAATCTCGACCTGCGCCTGGCTTGAATTGAAGTTCTGGGAAGTACTAGTAGGGTTCAGGGTCAGGTTTGCCGGAAGTGGGGCAGGGAAGCGAAGCACTAAATCCTGCAAAGCAATCCCCTGCGCTTTCAGGTACTGAATTTCCTAGCCTCTGGAGCTTGAATTCTGAGCCTGAAAGAGACCCAAGCACCAAAGTACTGGGTGTCCCCGGGGCGTGTTGGACTTGGGGGCTGTACCTGCTTGCCTCAATTATCAGTGCCCGTAGTATAGTAGCCTAGATGAAGCTGGGCTGTGGCTGGTGCCTGGTAGCTTGAGACGACGCTGCACCTCCGAGTGAGTCAACCCCTGGCATTTGCAAATGTACTCTGTGCGGATAATAAAGCCTCAATGAAGACCTAAGTTCCGAGTACTAAACGCAAAATCCCATACCCAAGCCCGAACTCCCCAAACTCAAGACATGTGAATCCCGAAACCCCGATCCCTTACACCCGGACTGCAGCTATATAGTAATAGAGTGACATAGTGACATAGTAGTACAGTATAGTCGCATAGTAATGTAGTAATATAGCAACTAGTAATATAGTAACATAGTGATATTGTAATATTGTAATATTGTAGTATCGTAATATTGTAATATAGTGATATTGCAGTATAGTAATATAGCCACTGAGGTCCTTAGTTGCACGCCTCGGTGGCCACTCGCAGCCCCGAACCCACAGAGGGAAGGAGTCCAAGGGCTTAGGGATCAAGAATCAGGGTCTAGGATTTAGGCTTAATTCGGGATTCAGGGCTTAGGGTTCAGGGTTTAGGATCTAAGTTCAGGGTGTGGGATTGAGGGCTGCTGGGCCAGGAGTGCTTCTGCTCGCCTGGGCTTGAGTACGGGTGTCTGGGGCTTGCGAACTTCGGGATTTCATCATTCTGGCTTAAGGTTGGGGGCTGGGGGTTCAGGAATTTGGGATGTTGAGGAAGGTTTCGGGCTTCGCATCTACGGACTGTGGGCCGGGGGCTTCTGCGTCTCACCTGGATGTTTTCAGTGTTTCTTGGGTTTGTATATGAGCAAGCCTCTGAACCCTCCTTTGCTATCTAGGCTATGTTTTGCGTCGAGGGGCTCGTGGATTTCTATCAGGCCATAAGTGATTTCGTACAATTCTGACAAAGGTGCAGTGAAGATGCGTGGCCAGTTTCAGTTACAGCTCAGAAGGACAACTAATAGTGTATAAGATTGCGCCTCGTCTCTCTGCTAGGATTGTCAGGCGCACATGTTTGTAGTTGAACGAGTCTTAACTACCCGTTTTGGGCTGAAGCCAGCCGATTAACACTTAACGCAGTAACACTTGGCCGCTTTCATTTTCACCTGCTAACCTGAGGACCCAAGCTAAGCTCGAAAGCCGCCAAAGCCTGTTTGCGTAGTGTTCTCTTACCCCAAACAGTAGCAGCCGAAACCTAAGTAGTAGCTTCCATTTTCTTTTCCATTATCCCTATATAGCCCTAGCATACTACATAGTAGGTTCCATTTTCTTTTCCATTATCCCTATGTAAACCCACTGAAATTGTTTCCATGCGAGGAGCGATTCCCCGGCATGACGATCACCTATGCCCTGATCCAGATGTTGGAGAAGGCCTTGACACGCACAATCGTAGGGTTCAGGTTCAAGGGGTGGGATTGATGTTTAGGATGAGGATATAGATTGTGGAGAGGGCAGCGTGTAGGGATTTAGGGTTGCCTCGGCTTGAGCGTTCGAAAGCGAGCCGGGCAAATACGGAATGACATTCTGCAGCATGCTTAGCGTGATTATGGTCTTGGGGTGTACAGCTTGACAGCTCCGGCGACTCTTTCTTTGACTTGTCTAGAGGACGTTGCGAGAGCTAGCTCCTAAGACAGCTGATCATGAACTGGTGTATATGTGAGAAGCTAGTGACATTCCTGAATCCTTGCCCTACATGCTATATCCCGCAACCCCCCGTAGCTCCTCTGAAGCAACCATAGCAGATGCCCTCCGCGAACCCAGTGGATTTGTGTTTCAGTTAGACGGTGCCGACGTTGATTGCCTCTGATTGTATTACTAGGTATGCTTCTAGTTAGTTCATGGTAGAAGCATATTCTCAACACGGAAACCAGCTTGGCCAGGTCGACTATGTAAGTATGCATGACTCAGAGTCAGAGGCAATTCAGCTTGCGGACTCAGAGACTTCAGCTCCTTTTGTTGGACCTTCATTCGTAGCTGCTCATTTTGAAGCTTCAGATCCCTCTTTAAAGGGTAGGTCTCTTAGACCCAAGCTTGCGAACGATGGTGGTGCCAGGTTGCAGAGAAGACGGATTTGGCCCGCATCATCACGAAGGCCAAGGTCTTCAAGCTGGTGACGGAGGGCAAGGCCTGCGTGGGCTGCGTCTACGAGAAGGGCGGCCAGAACTTCCAGGAGTTCGGCCCTGTGATCCTGGCCTCAGGCCGGGCTGCGTCCAGGCAGTAGAGTCGGCAGAAGCAGACTGGGCAGATTTTGTGCCACAGTGCAGGTGGCTTTGGTGCGGATTTCACCCAGAACTCGCTGCTGGCTAAGTACCGCCCGGATCTGCTGCACCTGCCCACCACCAACGGCGAGCACTGCACCGGCGACGGCATCAAGATGGGCGAGGCCAGCGTGCCATGTTCGAAGCGAAGCGGAGCAGCATATGCAAAGTGCAAGTCATGCCTTTCAGGCTACCTATTTCTCGGCTGTGTGCACGGGCAGGAGATCGGGGCGAAGACCATCGACCTGGAGTGGGTGCAGGTCCACCCCACCGGCCTTGTGAAGCCGGACGACGCGGACGCCAAGATCAAGTTCCTCGCTGCCGAGGCCACTGCCTGCACGCGAGCACGCCCTTGCTTCTGCGTCCTGCTAGGCCCTCCGAGGTGTGGGCGGCATCATCCTGAACGCGGAGGGCAACCGCTTCTGCAACGAGCTGGGCCGCCGGGGACCCAGGGCAGTGTCGTTTTGAAGCCAAGATCGCGTGCATTGAAGCGGCTGCTCGAAGCTGCAAGCAGTTCCCAGGCCGCGACTACGTCACTGGGGAGATGTGGAAGAGCAAGCCGCCCTTCAGGCGCTCACGTTGTATCTGTTTTATACATGGTTGCATCATCTTGCCTCCTCAACCTGCTAGCATGTGGTTTTTCTTGCAGGCTCTGCCTCAACAAGGCAGCCTCTGACGAGATCATCTGGCACTGCAAGCCATATCCTGAGCATTCCACGCCTGAGCACAAGCCTCTTCTCCTTGCACGTCTGCCTTTCAGGCACTACACGGGGCGCGGCGCGCGGCGCACAGCCTTTTTTGTGGTGCGGACGCTTGTAAGTTTGTTGACACATGTGGTTGGGCTGGGCCGCGGGCACACTTAATTGTGTGCTGAGGTCATGAAGTTCTACGGCAGTGGTGAGGACCTTGCCAAGGACATGGGGGTGCCTCTCTCCGTCATTGAGAAGGCGCACGAGGACCACTTCCAGGCCGCCAAGAAGACGGAGACAGACCCCGACGGCGGCCCATTCCCCGCCTACCCGTCAGGCAAGTGCTGGGACGAGGCCCGGGCTAGGGAGGCAATATCTTGAGGTGGATCTCTTACGGTTTTGTTTAGCATTTCTCTTGAGTTCGACTGTCAGCGGACTGCCAGGCCAGCGGCAAGACGGGCAGTGGCAAGAAGTTCTTCCACAACATCATCCCAGGCTCTGCGGTGAAGAACGAACCCTTCTACGTAGCCATCATCACCCCGGTGATCCACTACTGCATGGGTGGCCTGCTCATCGACACCGATTCTGCGTGCATCGGTGCGAGCAACACGCCGGTCCCCGGCCTCTACGCCGCAGGCGAGGTGGCCGGAGGCGTGCATGGCAACAACCGCTTGGGCGGTAACTCTCTGCTGGACTGCGTGGTCTTCGGCCGCGTGGCGGGCAAGGCAGCTGCCAAGTACATGTTGGGCGCAGACATGAAGGACGTGGACCTCCGGGAGGTTACTGGCGGTGGGCTGACGGGAGCCGTCGAGAGCTCCAAGCTTGCTGGTGGCTCCTATGAGGACAAGATGAACTCCTCAGCACCAGCTGCCGCAGCAGTTCCTATGGCCAACGGCGGAGGCGGTGGCGGTGGCATCACATTGGCGGATGTGGCCAAGCACAACACGAAGACAGACTGCTGGGTGGTGGTCGACGGGCAGGTACTTGACGTCACCAGCTTCTTGTCGGAGCACCCGGGTGGCGAGTTGGCCATTCTCACCTTTGCTGGAAAGGATGCAACGGAGGAATTCAACATGTGTCTTGGCCGGCCCTGATTGTGCATGTGACATGAAACAACTTCTGAAATCTCGCCTTCGCTCCCTTAATTGATAAGTTAATCTGACAGAAGGATCCACCCTCCCGATGTCATCGGCAAGTACGCTCCGGACTCGGTTGTCGGCATGATTGGTGGCGGTGGCGGCGGGGGCGGTGCGGTCGCTGCCGCTGGTGGAGGCGGCGGCGGTGGCGGCGGAATCCCCTTGACGGAAGTCGCCAAGCACAACACCAAGACGGACTGCTGGGTGGTGGTCGATGGTCAGGTGCTTGATGTCACTAGCTTCCTGTCGGATCACCCGGGCGGCGAGTTGGCCATCCTCACCTTCGCTGGAAAGGATGCCACGGAGGAGTTCAACATGCCACTTGGCTGCAATGAGTGTTGTGAAGTTGCACATTGCCGATTTTTTTTGGCTCCGGTGTGAACGCGTTTGGCGACTGCAGGATCCATCCGCCAGATGTGATCGGCAAGTACGCGCCGGACTCCGTGATCGGGGCCGTTGGCTCGGGCGTGGCCGCTGCCGCGCCCAGCGCCGCCCCCAAGGCCAGCGGGCCCATCAGGCACCGCGCAAGGGTCTGTGAGTGCAGCGCTAGCACTAGCAGCTTGTTCATCGGTTTGTCCGCGTGGTCCTGGCGCAAGGAAGGACACGGGCAGCAAGCTCGGGAACCACCAGGCCTGGGGGCACCTCGACGGGGCGCCCAACTGGCGTGTGGACCTCGACGAGAACCCAGGCATGTGAGCTGGCACTTTCTGTCTTGCCCGGCTTGCGTGAGTATGTAATCCATGGAGGTGTGCTGCTGATTAACGTGAAGTCTTACTTCAATGCGACCTGGTTCCTGCTGCTGGCGGTGCTGTATGAGCCACGACTGCACGCACAGACCAAACTTCTGAGCAAAGCAACCTGAAGCTGGCTACTAGGTAACCGAGCGCTCAACACATTGATTGAATTCAGGAAGTTTGCGCGACGATCTTCTCCGCCAAGAATATCAAGATCTCCAACGACCGCCTCGGTCTCACCCGCAGCGCCATCTTGCTGATCCTTTTCATCGTCATCCACGCGGTAGGAAACCTCCATGTCTTCAAAGGCTGGATGCCGCGGTCATGTTCTACGGCCATGTCATGTAAGCCTGACTGAGATTTCTGAGGGTGTGGCAATGTGCTGAATACATGCAGGCCCAGATGACTTCAACGGCTACGGCTACTTCTACGTGCGGCTGTACTGGACGGGCTTCGGCCTTCCAGCCAACATCGTTGAGGAGTACATCCTCCTGTCCGTGTTGCTCCACGTCTTTGTGGGCCTGAAGCGAACCTGGGACATGAAGTT